AATGCAACGTCAATGTTCATCTATCAGAAGCATGAGAAAGTGAAGAAATAAAGTCTGTCTTGTAGAAAGAGGGCAGCGTATTTTTGGTCTCTTTACCTGCGCTGAGTTATTTATGAAAAACGCTTTGGAAGCAGCTGGACCGATACGGTTTCCAATTAAGAGGTATTTCCACTTTTTAAAACTTCTTTGCCCTTACGTGATGAATATTTTGGGTTGTGGGGGGTTCCTCCTCCCTCCTGTTTAAAGAAATACTGAAAGTAGATTTGATGAAAAAAAACCACACTTCATTTGGCCGGTTTATTACAAAACTGTTATGGAATGTAACACATCTGTGGCCGGACTCAGTTCCTGGTAGACAATCGCTCCGTTTCTCGATTTTAATAGGCCTCATTGATCCTATAAATAAACCTCCATTTTCTTACCTGATCCAGCGAGCAAACCGTGGCGGTCAGATGTGGAAAGTCTTTTAACGGGAAGCATATGACGGACCCGTCGGGCGTGAGGTAAAAGTCGAATCAAGATTGCCTGCAGTCATTAACGGTAGTAAAATTTATGTTTCTCCCTGTTTTCCCAATTAAATCAAGAAGCCCTTTTTTCCTTAAGATCCTTCTATCACCAGCTGGTTCTAATCCTCGCCGTGTGAATAGGGCCCGGGGTGTCTCTGTGTCCCCTTGGCGCGCGGCTGAGGGCTGAAGTGATTTGAGGTGGTGGCGTCGACCTTGGGGCTGGGAGGTGGTAATTGCGAGGGACTCTCTGTTGGTCCTTATCGGCGTCCACAAGTATGCATGCTTCATAGGTATTACAAAGAAGTTGTTGCAGTAGGTTCTGGGTGTAATAAAAGAGGAAGCAAGGTAATAAAATCACTGAAAACATGCTGAAGAGATTAGAAAAACAAGCTACGTAGCAAAATGTCCAGTAGGGTGTGCTTAAAAAAAAAAAGTATGGAAATGCGTCCAGTGTCTTGCATTTCAGAGTGATTCGTGGCCTCTCCTCACTGTGACTGTCATCTGGGATTGTTATTTAGCAACGGTTGATCTGTCATCTCGGTCTCTTCTGGGTAAACGGACCTCAAATCACTTACCCATGAACCGTTGTCTCACTAAATGACTTTTACGCTTCTTTTCTTACTGATCATTATTGCCTATAATTTCTGACTTTCCCTCCTTCTTCCCCTCCCCCCCTTCCATTTATGGTTTAAAACATTTGGCTTTCAGGGGGCCGGAGCCATAGCACAGCAGGGAAGGCATTTGCCTGGCACGCAGCTGACCCGGGTTTGATCCCCGGCATCCCATAGGGTCCCCCGAGCACCGCCAGGAATGATTCTTGAGTGCAGAGCCAGGAGTCAACCCGGAGCACTACTGGTGTGAGCCAAAAAAAATAAATAAAACTTGACTTTGGGGTCCTGAGAGATCGTATAGTGAATAAGGTGCAGACCTTGCACAGGGCTGACCCGGTGCTATAGGACTGTCCGCCCACTGTTCATCGATTTGCTTGAGCGGGCACCAGTAACATCTCCATTGTGAGACTTGTTACTGTTTTTGGCATATCAAATGCGCCACGGGGAGCTTGCCACGTGTGGGCCGGATACTCTTGGTAGCTTGCCGGGATCTCCGAGAGGGCAGAGGAATCGAACCCGAGTCCGCCACGTGCCAGGCAAACGCCCTACCTGCTGTGCTATCGCTCCAGCCCAGCCTAACGGGTATAAATCTGAAATATGTGCTCGGCATCCGTCACCGCCAAGTTATGCAGAATCATTTTCCAGAGATGTCCAGCATGTCTCATTCTGGTTCAGTGTATCCCTTGTTACGACACCCACTCAACCACGGTCACAGTTGTTCTTTAACGAATGGATCTGTGGGTACCATTTTCATTATTCGGAGCTCTTGGCAGCGTTGGTTCTCGTCAACCTCAGTGCGTTGTGATTTGGGAAGTCGTGTCCGTTCAGTAGGGGACCCCGGCTAATAACAACGACCTGGGCCAGGGCGGGTGCTGACCACAAACAGGTGGAAACTGGTCTGCTTCAAACCCATATATCCCTGCTTGGCTGAACGGTGAATGAGAAAAACCCCAAGTGTCTGACAAAATTAGTAGCTCCAGGTTTTTTTTTTTTTTACTAATCACTTCAAAGATGAAAATGCTGAAGGTATTTCCAAATCCAAAACCCATTAGCTTGTGTTCACCGTCTAATTGGCAGAAAATCAGTGGTGAACCCAGCCATGAGAGCTAGTTTGCCCCTTCAGCAGTTCCAGCTGAACTACAGCTGTGAGTTTCTTTAAAAAAAAAAAAGAAAGAAAGAAAGAAAAAAGTGTGTGTGGGGGGGGGGGAGGAGCCCCCTCGAATGTACTTTATAAGTGCCATAATTCCTACAAAATCAGTTACTGGAGCTAATGGCTAGTTTGTTAAAGCATTAACTGCCCTCAGCTGGGAATGACCAATTTGGGGGGAAAGCTTCTCAGATAATGCAGTAACACTTTCGGATAATGATCCAGCTAATGAACGGTGAATTCCTGTGGAAATCCTAGCGAAGTACCGTGACCCCGGCGTTTAATAGCCAGCGAGTTCATCATGATTCATGCTTATTCCCATAAATGCCAGAGGAATCATTAATGATCGGTCGCTTTCACCCCTGCCCCCCCCCCGCCCCAAACCTGGCCTTATTACTTGGACAGCTCTGACTAATCTCTCTCTGGTTCCTCGAGTTTTCAGCAAGCTCCATCAATGCACTGCATGGCTCAAAGTCACAGAACCTTTGGTGAAGTGCCAGCAGCCAACTTTGAAAAGGGGGGTCCCCTTTGGGAGTAATTGATGCCTGGGGGTCTTAAAGGGGCGCTCTTGATGTGCCCGCCATCCGTAGGATGTAGGGTCTTCGGAACCGCTTAGCTGGAGTTTATGGTTCTTAGTACTTAGGGGGACAGCATACCCCCCGCCGCCCACCCAGTCCTCAATTAAATTAGGACATACAAGATTAGGTTTTTATTCTTTTTTTCCCCGAAGAATTCTTTTGTAAGTGCTCATCTCCCTTCTTCCAATGAATGAGCGGAACTCATCGCTTTTAGGCTAAAGAGTAAACTCTTCATTTTACTCGGCCCCTTTTAATCTCTTAATGACTGTTTATTGCTGTGCCATCTGTGGGTTATAGTCGTCAGTAATAATCAGAAATGTTGGCAGCCGGGAAGCTGCGGCTTTTTCATTCACAGCTGCGTACAAAAGATAAACTTGGGACTGGAGCTATAGTACCATGCGTAGGGCTTTTGCCTTGCATGCGGCCAACCCGGGTTCGATTCCCAGCATCCCATATGGTCCCCCAAGCACCACCAGGAGTAACTCAGCTCACTCTGGGCATTCACTGTGCCCTGAAATACTTTTTTATTTGTTTGTTTGGTTTTGGCTTATTTGGGTCACAACTGGCAATGCTCAAGGGTTTACTCCTGGCATTTCTTGGGGGACCCTATGGGATGCCTGGGATCGAACCCGGGTCGGCCACATGCAAGGCAAATGCCCTCCCCGCTGAACTATCTCTCCGGCCCCACTGTTTTTTTTTTCATAGCTGTCAGATGCCATAGTTACCGGCTGCATTTTCTGAAGTCATTTATAGTCACCTATGATGCAGTGACACACCCGTGACTTCCAAACTCGAATCTTCATTCATATGTGGCAGTCATTTAAAGGAAAAGTGAAATGTGATTTGTAACAATCAGTTAGGAATTAGATCCTTCAAAGTCACGTGGGGAGCAACAAGACCTCATAGCAAGTGTTTACATGCTGAATAATACAAGGCAGGTAGGGCTGGAGCGATAGCCCAGCGGGTAGGGCATTTGCCTTGCATGCGGCCAGCCCAGGTTCGATTCCCAGCATCCCATAGGGTCCCCCGAGCACCGCCAGGGAGTAATTCCTGACTGCAGAGCCAGGAGGAACCCCTGAGCATCGCTGGGTGTGACCCAAAAGCAAAAAAAAAAAAAAAAGGCAATGTCAGTTTACATTTTTTTTCATCTCCCAAAGAAATACAGAAAAGGGAAGAAAATATAGATATTTAGAAATGAGATTCCAGGGAAGCCCCCTTCCCCCAGATGGCCATCTCAAAGACTTCTCAGCAACGAGGGTGAAACAGGCCTCTGATCACAGGCCTGCGGCATTGTCTCTTACGTCTGTCATCGCCAACTTGCATGTTTTCTCAGGGAGAAAAGAAAAAAAAAAACTCTGCTTTAGTACTCGCCATGTTTCTACTTCTGTTTTGCTTTGCTCAGCCCCCCAAACAGGAGAGCACTTAAAATGGAAAGTGATATAAAAGGGGTTTCATGTGTCCTGTGAAGGGAAAGTGACAAACATGAGGGTCCCACCCTTGGGATAAGGGGTCCAGCAGTTGCCCAGGGGTCAGGGAAGAAATCAGCGTCCCCCTGGAAATCTACCTTCTTTTTTCCCCCCCTTTAATTTAATTAAATTAATTAACTTATTTTTCCCACATGGCAGAGCCTGGCAAGCTCCCCGTGGCGCATTCGATATGCCAAAAACAGTCACAAGTCTCACCATGGAGATGTTACTGGTGCCCGCTCCTGCAAATCGATGAACAATGGGAGGACAGTGTGACAGTGCTACAATTTATTTATTTTTTATCTTTTTTGGGTCACCTGGCAATGCACAGGGGTGACTTCTGGCTCGTGCACTCAGGAATCACTCCTGGCGGTACTCGGAAGGACCTTACGGGATGCTGGGGATCGAACCTGGGTTGGCTGCATGCAAGGCAAACGCCCTCCCCGCTGTGCTATCGCTCCGGCCCCTGGGTAGCACTTCTTGTCCAATTCAGTGACAGCGGGTTTCAGGCCTGGCACTGAAAACTCTGCAGGGAGACAACACAGTTCGTCCCATCAGGAACTGCCTTTCTCAGTACAGCCCTGCTGTGTGTCCAAGGGCTCTCGCAGGGCTCGGTTCACTCGTTTCAGAGCCTAATTAGGCACAGAACTTGGAGGGAGCCAGTCGCCACAGCCCCCACTTGTCGTTCGCAGGCAATGAGAACTATAAGCAAATCGCCATGTGTGTCCTGTACCACATCAGCATGGATGACCGCTTCAAGTCGATGTTCGCTTACACGGACTGCATTCCCCAGGTAAGCGGCTCTCACCCATTTTTTTTTTTTCAAAACACTCAACGACGTGTTGTGGTTGTAGCCGTTGTTTTATGCGTCTTCTCACTTCCAGTCTCCCCTTCCCTTCCCTCTGTTAGTGCCGATGTCGGCATGGCTGTGGTGATGGGTGTAGATACCCCGGCTGTAAAGTCGGCTCATCTTTACTGTGTCCTTTGCGAGGGGTGAAGATGGGGGTCGCGTGTCAGACTCCAGGGCTATCCAGTGTGACGGTCCTGTTCCTCGCTGGGTGTCGCGGTGGTGCTCACACTGCAGTGCTCCCTGGATGTGGGGTGTGTCACGCCACTTTCTCTACGGCTTCCATCTTCCCAGCACTGGTTATGTCCAGAAGTTGCTCTCACAGAACTGGGAATTCCAGGAGAGCAGCCAGGACCACAGTGGGGGGGCGCATGTGGGGCCCCAGGACCCTGAACTCATGACCATACGATTGCACTCTGGCACGTTTCCTTCTTTAAGTCAAAACTTAGTAATATGGGAATCATGTGGAAGAGAGAGTTGTGTGTGGCTTTGTGTCTCAAATCAGTATTCTCATGGGTCAGCCTGGAGCCCACCCAAACAGAGCTCCCGGCAGCCACTTGCTCCCACAATCCAGAATTGCCGCCATTTATCCGGCCTGACTCCACCATCTCAGAACAGACCTCACCAAGGCATAATCTGCTGAGAATTCGGGTCTGCGGGTTTTGTGACTGAAATCTCCAGGCTTTCTCAGGGTCGGGATGGGCTGCCTTCCCCCACCTCCCTGTACTTCCGGGAGCCTTGGCAGTCACATCCAAACCCAAAGCGGCCACCCAACTGAAAAGTTACTCCATCCTACCATCCCTCTAAAATTACCATATGGGGGGCTGGAGCGATAGCACAGCGGGTAGGGCGTTTGCCTTGCACGCAGCCAACATGGCTGACACAGGTTCGATTCCCAGCATCCCATGTGGTCCCCTGAGCACCGCCAGGAGCAATTCCTGAGTGCATGAGCCAGGAGGAACCCCTGAGCATCGCCGGGTGTGACCCAAAAAAGAAAAAAAAAAGTAATGTGGAGTTCATACCCAATTTAATCAGCTTAATCAATGGCTGAACTAATAGCAGTACGCCTACATTTAAAAAAAAACAGTAAACAGTATTCTCCTTTTTCATTGGATGTTCTTCAAAAGCTCGTCCTAAGGGCTGGGGAGATGCTATGCAAGGGCTAAGCCTTGCATGTTGCTGTCCCTGGCCCGGCCCCCAGCACCACGTGGTTCCCAAACAGTACTGAGTGCAGTCCAGAGGGCCCACACCCCGCGGGGCGCAGCCTTGAAGACCCTGAGCTCCACTGGGATCGTCAGGCTGAGCCTTGTGCCTCGGCCCCCAGAAGCCCTGTATCCTCTGACTCTCCTGGTGAGACCCTGCCCCGTTGGCCAGGAACCACCGGGATAGACCCCCGGACCTCCTAAGAGCTGCTCCGGAAGTGTCCCCCTCGTTAATTTCAATAGTGATAGGATATTCCTTTGCATGGGGATACCAGAGCGTATGCATTTACAGTTTTATGGAGTTTTTTTTTTTTCATTTATCACATAAAACATGAAATGGAGCATATGTAAGTCATGAGCCTAATGCAGAATACATTTCAGAGTGTTTAAATGCTTGTTCACAGCTTTTTATTTTTTTTTCAGTATTTAGATTCCTAAAAACAGTTAATAGATCAAAAGATAGGATCCCTTGTTTTGACACTCTCTGTGGTTAGATTACTTTCTAAGAAGATGGAATTTCTTTTTTTTTTTTTGCTTTTTGGGTTACACCCAGTGATGCACAGGGGTTACTCCTGGCTCTGAACTCAGGAATTACTTCTGGCGGTGCTCAGGGGACCCTATGGGATGCTGGGAATCAAACCCGGGTCGGCCGCGTGCAAGGCAGACGCCCTGCCCGCTGTGCTATTGCTCCAGCCACAGAAGGTGGAATTTCTTAGCTTAACTAGCATGTTAAATCTTTTTTTCAATACTGAAGATTAGCCTTGGCCTCAAAATGAGGTTTTCATTTTAGGTTGATTTACGGTCTCATAAATAGGTGAGAATGATCTCTTTTTTTTTCTTATCTGTTATCCATAATGTAGATCATTTATTCATGTTCTTGTGTCAATAATTTTAGGTTTAATAACTAAGATCCATGTGTTTAGTTCTGTGTCATTTGCCCTTTCATTTTGTTGATGGTTATTTTAAATGCTTTTGCATTCTTCAACGAGAAAATGCTTCATTAAAATTCTTTTATTTTTATAGCACTGTTCTCAACAAGGATCTCTGCTCTGAGTCAGTTGCTTAATAAATTTCATATGTTAGGTTTATTTTTCTTGAAGGAGTTTGGTGATATTTTCACACAGACTATGAGGGTAAATATTTTATACATAAATGATAAAGATTTTGCTCCTAGGGAATTTAAGCTCATATTGTCACTGTGATAGCCATTAATCTTTATCAGACTGAACTCCACTAATTTAGATATCGGATGATTGGAACACTGGTTGGGATGACTTTTAATATTATTCTTTATAAAATGGTTTATAAAACCAGTGCAGTTGCAAAATTATAATAGGTACCCAAAACAACACTTTCAAAAACATTCAAAGATAGATTAACAAGGATTCAGCTTTCTTACACAGTCCTTAATACAACGACATTTACAGTCCTTATGTTTTTAAGATATAGCTTATACAGTGGAAAATTTTTTTCAATGCTAATTTTCAGAATAATTCTTTTAAAGAGCTTAAAGTTGAAACAGTGATAATAGACATCTAAACTTGGCAGAATAAAGCAGACTCTTTCATTTAGATTCTTAAGCCTTTCTAATAATGCAACAATTTATCACGTATATTATCTTTAATTGTAAAATTACAAAACTCCTTGCTTTTGATCTCAGACTCCTTAATAAAAACTGCTTAAGGCTAAGGAAAAGAAAAACACTTGAAGAATATGAGTAGTAAATCATACTTAATAGACATTCCCCACACCTCTTCTCTTGTTAGCCTGATAATTTATAAATTATTCGAGACATATTCGATATGCCAAACACAGTAACAAGTCTCACCATGGAGACGTTACTGGGCCCGCTGGAGCAAATCAGAGAACATCGGGAGGACAGTGTTACAGTGTCTATTACTTGAGAATAATCCGTGGTCAACAATAGACCGCACTTTCTGTTCATTCTTATTGCCTGTCCTCTGTTCCTCTTAAAGACAGTTCCAAAATTAAATTTCACTCTTACAGAACTCTAACAGGTTCTCTGCATGCTGTTCCGAAGCTCTGAGCAGTTCTCAGGGATCATTTATTGGGATAAACTCATTAAGCTCGCTCATAGGGAATGGCCGTTTCTCAGAGAACTTACGGCATGTGCATTCTGAACATAATAAGACAAGCCCGTTTGCAGAGATAACGCCTGTCAGACTGTAGCCAAAGTGAAGTGGAATCAAACTCCGTGTCGAGCAAGTTTTCAATAAGAGAGTTGCTGTGTCAAGGGGAGATTACAGGTGATTTCCTGGCGCCCCTTTCCAGATGTCCTTCGGGGGGTGCTTGGCCGTTTCAAAGGGCGTTCCGTTTTCAATCCCATTTAGTGTCAGGACATCACTGACTACAGGATATGAGTTGGAACGCAGCCAAGGAAGAAGAAACGTTTTTCTCGCCTGCACTGGCAGTTTTCATCCGAACTCGATTTTAGAGAAAGTCACATGAAGTCGAAGCTCAACTGAAAAGAGATGAATTTTGCTGAATTTTGAATCTTGTAGTTAACCCTCCACTTTGGTGGGGGGCGGGGGTGGGGAGGATGTAAGATTCGAACATGAAATACAAAGTCTTAAAAAATTAGAACCAGGGACCTTTTTAGGTAACTGAGACATCCATGCTTTCTTGCCAGCTAGTTTGCCAACATCAAATCTTCTGCAAATGGAGTTTCACAGATTTTCTGATCTGTATTTTTATAAACACAATATTCTAGGATCCATCCCGAAATTGAGGGCATTTTTGTTTAGATTATGATTATTTTTCTTCTTTCTAAAAACCTTGGCCCTAGAGCAATAACCAGGCTCTGTTACCAAATTATGTCCTTAACACCCTGGAGCATTTTTTTTTCAGTCCAAGGTCTTATTTCGAGAAACAAAGAACATTCTAGAATACCTTCCTTAAGTCTTGCTCAGCATTATACTTGATATGATTCAGTTTGGATGTATCTAAGAAAGGGGCAGGGCTGGAGCGATAGCACAGCGGTAGGGCGTTTGCCTTACAAGCGGCCAACATGGCCGACCCGAGTTCGATTCCTCCGCCCCTCTCGGAGAGCCCGGCAAGCTACCGAGAGTATTCGATATGCCAGACACAGTAACAAAGTCTCCAATGGAGACGTTACTGGGCCCGCTCGAGCAAATCGACGATCAACGGGAGGGCCTTTACCTTTACCTTTACCTTTACCTTTACCTAAGAAAGGGGACACTACCGTTTGCTACGCAGTTCCAATTTCATTAAAATACTAGCGGGGGGGGGGGGGGAAGAATCCGGGATTCGATGGACGCTTCCAAACTTTCTTTATATATAAAGTTTTTGTTTAGGGGCTAGAGAGATAGGACACTGAGGTGGGCACTTGTCTTGCACACAACAACCTGGGTTTGCTCCCAAAGCCCTCCACCAGGATGGGCTGCTTTGACTAGTATTTATGAATGCCAGGAAAGCTTAAAATTGATTTGTGACAGCAACTGATTTTTAGTAAAGCTCTCTCTAAGGTCTAGAATAATTGGAGTTGTGTTCACTTTGAAAATACACACTTTGCTTTTTCTGTTAAAAAATATGAAATTCTGCAAATAAATATTTTAAATGAGGGTTCTAAAATGATCTTAAAGTGCGAGAGCAGTAGGTAGTTCAATAATTATATTCATTTCAGTGATCAAAAAAATGGAGAGTATGATAATCTTTTTTTTTTTTAGACATGCGAATCAAGAAACTTTATAAACTACACATCAG